CCTCCTAAAATCTGGGCTCGCTTGGAAATACCTCGCCGGTTGTTATTATAAACATATTGGATAGGATTGTCATACCTAGTGTCATACGTCATAATTATCATTAACAATTTTTGTATGACTTATGAATCCTACACGACTAAGCCGCTTGGTACGTTAATTGTATCATGTAGGGACATTGTGTCGAGATGTAACACTGCGACATTTATACACATCTAGAAGTCAACGTATGTCACCAGAAAATTACTATATAATATAAAACACTAAAAAGCTATTTAATGTTAAATAAAACAACAAAGATCCTACAACAAGTACATAAAAAAATTCGTGAGGTCAGCTGGTAACTATTTAATATGTTTAAAAAAACTAATGTATGCATAGCATTTTCAAAAAAGCACGGAAATCGGACAAATCGTAAGAAAAAGTCGACCACAAACATATATTACAACATATATTAATAAATATTTGGTGAACTTTATTTAACGATGCGCAGCGAGCGAAGCAAGATAAGCTTTCTTGGTATTCACAAAATTTTCACAATCACGAACGCAATTACTCGGCTGTTTCTCTTCGGATATGCATAAAATTTTAAACTAGCACAAAAAAATCCAATTCTCCAGGTCATAATGAAGCCCAAGTTTTGAATTTCGAATATGTGACCTGAGATACGTTTTAGATGAGTTTCAAGGACATCATGGGAAAATGTGTAAAACTGTGAAAGTAGAATAATATTTGCCCGCAGAGTCCAAAGTCCGAGTCGGAGAACATTCAAAACTTTTAGAGGAACAAAACTGCCGTATTATAGGTACTAAGCTCGCTAAGATAAACTGTAACTAATACTTAACCTTTAGCAAAGAACGCATGACAGCAAACGATTTATTAACAACCATTTTCTAGGATATAATTAATTTCCAGATGAGTGATACCGATGCTTCTTCTTGGTCCAGCAAGGATTTTCATTCATGTAATTATTTACTTATAATTGTTTTCTTGTGGCATACAAATAACAATAAAGTTTTATAATGTTTATACGAGTACGTAACAAAAGAAATTTTAGTATAATTTGTTTTCATAATGGTGGTATAATTATTTGATAACGAATAGGAACTGAAAGCCTATCTATGAATACACCTATGAGTCTCAAGAGTAAACAAATTAATAAAACCCGTTTCTATATACCCTATATCTATTGACAAATTGACCCTAAAAGAGTTTCTTTGAAATACAAAACAAATTCATACTTCTGGAATTTTAAAAAACTAATACTGAATAAAACTACAACAAATGTACATATACTAAGTACATTTTAAATATTGTATTGCCTTTGGAGAAGAAAATAAACGCCTCCAAGCAAAACTACAAAGCGTAACCAACCAACTGTGTGGGCTTTATAATGGTTGTATAACAGTGTCTACATGCTGTATAGCTGTTTCCTTAGACCGCTTTCAGCGTAGTGTGCGATCAAGTCCTCTTCACAATAACAATGCTTGTGCAAATATAATAACGGCGATAAGATTTTGCTGTATACTCTGGAAGTATATTCATTTAGTTCGTCCAATTTCATAAAAAAATTTTTAGGATTATAATGCTGGTTATTTACACGTTTATTTGTAACAAAAATAACATTACTCATTATGTTACGTATTAAAATATTAAATATTGGCGTTCTAAAGTTCTGTACAAACGGCTTGCATTGTTCAATGAATGGACTAGAAGATGGCGGAGTTCGAAACTGTGTCATTTAGGATGAAAAAAAAATGTAAGAATTTATAAATACAGTGAACCAGGTGACTTATCTTGTTGGTAACTATTTGGTAGTTCAGCCCGGGAATATACTATGGCTTCCTCAGATTTAGTATAACCGTAACAGCTGTATATTAGAAGCAATAGAGCTCCTTGTAAATGAGTTCATCCAGGGAAGTAATGCCACCTTATCCATTTCCGCCGCGAAGCAAAATTCTCACTTTTTCAAACTTGTTTTTCATATTTTATTTTTCAAAATCAAACTTTTTTACCATAGTGACAGGCTCCTTAAACATCATCTACGGTCTTCGCTTAATTCCCACATCATCTAATCTATATAGTGAAGATAAGAAATTGTTACATACCCCCAAATCTGAATTGCAATCCAAACTATAAGAAACATCCCTTCTTTCGGCTCCGTTCCGTACATACTCCGTCAAGATATGGTATATATCCTCCACTATGTGACATTCAGTGCAATTGGGGGATTGGACCTTTCTAAGGGTACTTAAATGGTTGGTGGAATTACAGGCACATGGGACTTGTCAACTTATGTCTCATAGTGACGGGTAGTGGCAATGTCCCTCAGATCTTTGCGATTTAAAGCTCTGAGTAGCTCTGCAACTGTTTTTGGTGTGGGCGTGTCGCTTGCCACAAGGCGTGCAACGTTATTCATCCCGCAGCTTGGTGTCATAAAAAAGGTAATCGTCATTCTGAACGAATGCGAACGATAGCAAGGCTCAATACATAAGTTAAAGTAAATTAAAATACAATAACTACCGATTTTCACCTTTACTTCTACACAATAACGCCAGAGCACATAATGCCGAGCAGTAAATCTCTACCTGACAGGAGTTGCAGGTTAAAGCTTTTTCGCCAAACTGTATACTTACCTAACTTAGTCTTTATCTTCTTTCACATTAAACACAATTTAGATAATTATTTACAAAGAAAACAATTTAATTCCCGTGAAGGCGTCGAAAATGAGTTCTAAGACTTTGTAAATTCCCACTCCCTTCTATTGTACCGCAAATTAACAAATGAGCTTCCAGCAAAATCTTATTTTCTTAAACATTTTGTGTTAAAATAGCCGTATAGAGAACGGCAATTTCGTATTACATCCCCCGTATTCAATTAAAATTAAGAAACTTTGAAACCTATTGATCCAATGTTTATTTTCTTATGAATATTTTCAGTCATTGCCAAGGAAATTACAGTAATGTCGACATAAAGTTTAGAATAAAAAAATACTGTTTAATTGAGGAACATTTATCACTAGTAATCTACTTTATACGATAGGTTGGTTGTACAACAAATCATCCCTCCTGGTGAAACAAGCTTAACTACAAAAAAATGTCACGCCATACAATTTGAAAAAATAATTCAAAATTTCGATCTTTGTATTAATAATTATTTAAGAGCTCTTCAAATCAAAGCAGTGTGTAAATTTTACAAATGTAAATTAAGTCCGAGTTCCACCAGATTTACGAAATGGTGAAAGCGGATTGAATACTTATGAATTACTTCTTTTTTTAATTCTATTTTTTTCAAGTGACGGGACAAACAAGTCGTGCGCCTGGTAGTATAAGCGACACGTTCATCCTATTCATACAATTGCAGTGTCACAGAGCTTTAAATCGCAAAGATCTGAAAGACATTGCCATCACCCGGAGACATAAGTTGACAAGTCCCTTCCTGCCTGTAATTTAGAATAAAATAGAATAGAATAGACATTTATTGCAACGCCACAACACATAGATACAAAAAAAAAGTATTGATACCACTTAGACAAGCAAAACAAAACAAAAAGACGTAATTAACAATATTAAAATAAAATAAAATAAGACAATAACAAACAAAGAGCAAAACAGAAGAATACTAAATATAACAACTATAAATGTTGTACTGTCATGTGTGTACGCAAAAGGACTTCAGTCAGCTTATGTCACAGCCGCAATTCACTGTGGCGCTGGTTTTCAATGAGCCCTGAGCTGAGATGAGTGTCGGACGTATGTGTCGCAAAATAAAATATAAAATAAACTAAAATAAACTGCTTAAATAATTGCGTATGTGTTCTTTGTACGTTGTCTTAATGCTGTGTTATATTATAGCACTATTTCACCAGCACCCTTACCCTTCAAAACCGAAATACAGTGAAGATCACATTACTGCTTGGCGCCAGAAATAGGCAAGTTGGCAGTATTTCCCTAGATGAATTCTTTCACAAGGAGCTCTATAGCTAAAAATGACTCTGTAAATTTGACTGGCACTAATTTATATGTTCAATTAATACACCAATTACAAACGCTGACGTTTTAGTATGTAGTTTAAGTAAGCAATATCGTAAGGTCGTACATTTAAGGTGTCTGTAAATCCGGAACACTGCAATGCTGCTTCGCTGTTTACCATTGCCGTACCTATTTCTATAGGTACAGCAATGGTACCTCTCCAGGCGGCTTTGGTTTAGACAGAAACCGCACCCTACGAGTAATATTCCTCTGTGCCAATATTAGTAAACACGAATAATCCCGGAGCTTGGTATTCATATGCACGTACACAATTCATGCGGCTCCTACTACATATTAGGAGTGTACTTACTGAATATTATTTATTAGTTATCCTTCTGAGGCCCCTTGTACATCAAAATGTACGCATTATGTGTGAAGTGATTCAGACTCAGACAATATTATTCGTATGATCATTTAAACGTCCAGTGTACATTATAATGATAAACTCGCATTCAAATTTAGCGCTATATTCTATATATATGACCATAGGGTATCTCAAAAAATACGTGGGTCTGAATGTATATTGAGCGTTTAGCCGTATTAGAGTGAAACAAGTAGGGTAACTTCGTACAAAATGACTACGCAGCTTATATGTCTACTGCCGAGTGCCGTGTCTAAACACACACATTAGCATAATAATGAAAGGCGTTTTGGGACGACCAGTGTTATGCAACGCTAGTGCATTGCTAGATTATGCAAATGTGTACGTCCGTACGATAATTTGGAAATTTGAGAAAAATTATTATTTAAAAAAAAATATTATTTTGTAGTGCATTACAGTGTGTTTTTATATCGAATTTAAGCAAATAAGTGTTAAATGAATTGTTTAGCGTGTAACAATAAAATAAACCTAGGAGAGGTATTAGCCTGTGCTACCTGTAAGGGATGTTATCATTATAAGTGTATAAATATGACGTTGAACACCTATACTGCCAATAAACATAACATGACTGGCTATGCCCTTGTTGTGTAATGGCTACGAGACGTGTTCGTGTATGTGATGAGACATCAACCCGTAGACAGTTCAAGCAGCTCCCAGTCGAGGCTGACATATCTTGCAACAACTTAGCTTCCGGCTGCATCGCAACTAATGATGGTGAGGAATCGAAAAGCACCCGTGAAGTAAATATTTCTCAAGTTTTAAAGGAGCTGCGAGCATTCAGGAACGATTTTGTTGGCATGAAGTCAGATATTCAAAGAGTGACTGATAGCATTCAGGAAATTAATAAAAAATTTAGTGAAATGGAATCTCGTTTCAGTGTCATTGAGGATAGGTTAATAATAAATGAAAACAAAACGGCGTTGATTCCTAAATTAAAACAAGGCCTAGACTCAGCTAAAGAATCGATATTAGAAAATGAGTTACAGCAACGGGACCAACTAGCTAGGATGAACAACGTCGAGATATCCGGGATACCTATTGCTGCTGGTGAGAACCTCTCAACGCTAATACGGGCCATTTCTAATAAGGTTGGTTACTCACTAGACGGCCGTGACATCGATGGTGTCACGCGTGTACGGAGGTTCGAAGCGAGCAGTGTGTCTGCAGAATCAAGCGTCTCACGTCCGCCGGCCATCATTGTAAAATTCGCTCGGCGGCTGTGTAAGGATAAATTCCTAGCAGCAGTGCGCTCGCGATGCGGCCTAACTACTGCCGATGTCGATCTTTCGGGTCCCTCTCAAAACGTGTATGTGTCGGATCACCTCACTCCTCGAAACAAACAATTATTCAAGCGTGCCAGACAGATCAAAACCGACTTGAATTATTCTTATTTATGGGTTAGAGACTGTAAGATATTGATGCGCAAAAACGAGAGGTCTAATGTTGTCGTCATCAGGAATGATGCCGACATATCCAAGTTAAAATGACTTCTAAACAATTTTTTTATATTTTTAATAATTAAACAGTGGCTTTTTCATTTTTTTACCAATGTAGATAGATCTATACGTTCGTTTCTTATGCAAATTATATGTTTTAACTGTATCTGTTATTTTACGTTAAGTGACGTGGTAACTATTTTTTCTGTTTGTGTACAATGCACTCTTTTTCTAAAATATTTACATTTAATCCTATTACGAAATTACTTCTTGCTACAATATATAAATAAAATTGCATATTATAATTTAATTACTTCTAATTACTTAATGAATTTTAATGGTCTCATGGCGAATAATAAATACGTGTTTATATTAATTAACTATTATGGATCCGACAACTAAACATCTGTTAGGTTATTATCAGAATGCAAGGGGTTTACGTACGAAATCCCACGACTTTCTATCCCAGATAGCTATAACGGACTACGATTTTGTATGTGTGACTGAAACCTGGTTAACACCTGATTTTTACGATCGAGAGTAAAAATCAAAATTTGAAAGTAGGTACTTTGTGTTTCGCTGTGACCGCTCGCACGAGTAGAGCGGTGCGATGCGTGGCGGTGGAGTCATGGTTGCAGTGCGTACTACATTGATGCCGCTGCGACGGAACTGGCCGACGCCACCGCGCGCTGCTTCCGACTGCATTTGGCTATCCATACCCCTGAATATAGGTAGTAGTAATAGATGTTTAAACATCGCCTGTGTTTACATACCACATGGGCCAGGCTACCGTGACGCGCTGAAAGCATTTTTAATTGTGCTAGCGATATATTTAATAGTCGGCCAAATGATATATTTTTAATTGTGGGTGATTTTAATGTTTCTGAAGCGGTTTGGCAGGAGACTCGCACTTTCAGCAAATTACTACAAAAAGGTGGTGACTATGCTGTAAGATCGTTGAGAGATTTTTTAGCGTTCACTAATCTACAACAGTTTAATGGTGCTTATAATACCAATAACAGAATCTTGGACCTAGTGATGAGTAATATTAACTGCAATGTCACGAGTTGCTGTCAACCGTTAACCCAAGAGGATATCCATCATAAGTCAATAGAAATTTGTTTGAATATTGATAACTTTAAGTCTTTCAATTCAGTACCCACCTATAATTATTGTGCAGCAGATTTTCTTTCTATTAATGAGGAACTTACAAACATAGACTGGCCTGAAATATTTAAAGCTTTAAGCTTAGAGGAATGTATTTCGAAATTTTACTGCATTTTAAGGAATTGTATTACAAAGTTTGTTCCTCGAAAGATTATCAGATCTTCGCAGTCCTTTCCTGTATGGCATACTAAGCCCTTAAGAAAACTTTTGAATGAAAAAAGAAAATATCACAAACTGTGGAAGTTGTATGGGAATCCCTTGGATTATCAAAGTTTCAGTGCTCTGAGAAAAAGAACCAATCGCATGGAAACCGAATGTTACAACAATTATATACAGTATATAGAAAATAAAATTCAAACAAACTCTAAGTATTTCTGGACCTATGTCAAAGCTATTAAGGCTAATAATGGGCTACCGCAAACGATGACCTTTAACGGGAAATGTAGTAGCGATGGAGCAAATTTGTGAATTCTTTAATGAACACTTTCATTCGGTTTTCGTAAATAATACTAGCTAATCGCTGCTTAATCAATGGGATGCTCCTGTAAACACAGTTTTGGATATTGGTTCCGTCAAGATTCACCTTAAGTTGGTAAACAAATATTAAAAAAAAATTAACGTCAACAAGGGTGTGAGGCCGGATGGGATACATCCTCTGTTAATTAGCAAGTGTGCTGATGCGCTGACTTATCCCCTCACTCATATTTTCAAATTATCTTTTAGCAGTGGTTGCGTGCCTCAAGTCTGGAAGTTTGCTTGGATAACGCCTATACCTAAGGGTAACGTGTGTGAGGATGTCACTAATTATCGGCCGATTTCCAAACTGTGCCATTTCGCCAAGATACAGGAAAGGATTGTTACTGATCAACTGTTTAGGGTTGTGCAGCGCGTCATTATTCTGAACCAACATGGCTTTTGTAGAAAGCGTGGTGTGGATAGCAATTTGTTAACTTTTACGGAGCTTCTACTGTCAGCAATGGTTGAAAACGCACAAGTAGATGCTATATATACAAATTTTGCGAAAGCATTTGATAAAATTTGTCATAACACACTACTTTTTAAGCTCTGGCAGCTCGGAATTCACGGTGACTTGTTCCAATGGATACGTTCATACGTGGAAAACCGTAGTCAGGCTGTTACACTCTGTGGTTACCGTTCTATATACAAGAATATACCCTCTGGAGTGCCTCAAGGATCTCATTTGGGACCTTTATTATTTATTATTTATATCAATGATCTGACAAAGTCCATAAGTCATTCAAACGTGCTACTATATGCGGATGATACAAAGTTATACAGAGTTGTAAAGGAAACAAATGATGCTGCGTTACTGTAAAGCGATTTAAATGATTTTGTTGATTTTTGTAACAGTAACAATTTATTTCTGAATGCAGATAAATGTTTTACCATTTCTTTTACAAGGAAAAGAAACCCAATAACGTACCATTATAAAATTTGTGGACAGGATCTGAATCGCGTAAGTGAGATTAGAGACCTGGGTGTGGTAATAGACTCCAAACTTTCATTTATCCCCCAAATAGACAAGATTGTTAATAGGTCATACAAATTTTTGGGTTTTATATTACGCGTAGGAAAACCATTTAAAAACGCTTCTATCTATAAACTATTATTCAACAGTTACGTGCGAAGTCGGCTGGAATTTGCAAGTCCAGTTTGGAATCCGTATCAGCAGGTTCATCAAAATAAAATTGAAAATTTGCAACGAAAATTTGTTAAATCTTTGGATTATAGAATCGGTCACCAGCACACAGATTAGGACTCATCCCTTACATTCCATAAAATTAACACCTTGAAACAACGTCGCGAGATCGCTGACGTCACGTACTTGTTTAAAATATTACATAACATGGTTGATGTCCCTTTCCTATTGGGACAAATTTATTTTCGTGTACCTTATAAGCAAGAAAGAACAAGTCGTAAAAAAACCACTATTTGCCATTAAACCAAGTAAGACCTGGTATGGAAGTAATAGTTTTATAAAGAGAGCATGTACCTTATATAATAGCAAATTAATGAGTATAGAAATATTTGATAAGTCGCTATTAAGATTTAAAAACCACATCACTGAACTTATACAAAATAAAACTAATATACTATGGATAAATAATGTTCAAACCGTTTTTGTGATTTTTTTTAGTTGTCTATTATGATTCATATTATTGTCTGAAATGAAATTTATCTTATTAATATTTAGATTTTATTATGTTTATAGTAATTAATTAATTGTAATATAATTAGTTAACTATTGTGCTTACCTTAAGTGGAAACCATGTTTTCGTATGTTCTTTCCAATGTAAGTCTTTCCGGGGTTCTCGCATGCCGTGATAGCAATATTATTATTGTAAGTAATATATTATGTATATAATAAAAAATTGGAAATAGCTGAACTGGTTCACTGATGGATTGCAAAGACTATACTTCTTTTTATTTAACATTTTTTTTTCTCACTCAATGCATTGTTAATAATTATTTTTCAATTCAATTACGACTTGTGTTCCGTTACGTAATGACACGACCAGTCCTGAGCGCAGCGAGTTACCTCTGTGTGCACTCTTGCAGTGTTCGAAAGACGAAATACGCATATTGCTGAATATGTTTGTTCTGTTCCGTTGTTCCTGTGCACGAGTTCTTTGTGTTGTATGTGTTATGTCTATATGTCGGTGGCTATATCTATTCATAACTTGAAATTGTTTATCATAGACCACATACATACTTTTATTTCTTCCGTGTTGTTTATTGTGTATCAGATTGTCTGTTTACCTACTTTTTGTTTTATTTAATGTATATTTAGGGGACTATGGGTTTATTTATAAGTTAATTTTAAAATATGTATTTTTTTATATGCGTGTAACTGTTTGTCCCTCAATAAATAAGAAAAAAAAAATGTTTTCATAATGTAACCGTAACCTTTAATTTTGCAAACATACTTTTAGTAACAATGCTAGCTATATACAGACACGCTCTATATCTCTTGCTCCATTAGTATTTGGGTCGATTCGACATAATATACCGTTAGAGGTAACGATATAAGTCGAATCGGCCCAAATAATATTTCGTGAACTATAACAATATCAATAAAATCAATTGCCTACACACTAAATAACACTATCGGTTATATTGAAGACTGGGCGTTCTAAATTCAGCGGGACCACTCCTGGAATGGCCAGACGGTTGAGGAACCTACATAGTTCTATTCTATCGAATCCCATCCAATATTGAATCCAGAAAATATCGACGTTATACTATCGGTATAGATTCGATATCGATATAGATACATTTTCATAGAATAATAACAATGTTATCGATACTTGGATCGCAATATTGATTCACGTCGACATCTTTACAGATGAGCTAAGGCAGCAGGCACAATGCTCCGACGATGGTCTTGTAGTCCGTATGGCGGCGTCCACGACGACGACGCCGGTTTCCTGTGTCACTCTACATTGATATAGGTAATAATAATAATGATGATACATATATATATACGGTGGACTAGCGTTAAACGGCGGATTCCCATCTGATCCCCTAAAATCGATCCCCTGGTGGATCCGTTTTATTTTATATTATTTTCTACTCCCATCGGATACCCTATACGTGAGATCAAGATTAAATATTAATATTTTATTCCCACCAGATAGTACAAGGGTATCTTTGCTATCTATACAAGCTTTGGTATCTATACAAGCTTATTTTTGGTAGGTACTGTAGAGTCAACAAGAAGTTGATTTGAGGGTTGTACTGTATTTTATTTACTTTATTAGAAATGAACTACATTAACTGTACTTTAACGGTCAAGGTCTTGAAAAATACCAAAATGCAATTTGAGCAAAAAATATCACGTGGTGCACAAAGTTCATCAATTCAAAACTACAAAGAAAAACTTACATTTTAAATATTACTTAAGACTAAAATTTTGTTATTTGTGATTTGCAATGTGTCAATATTAATCAATCTAATCAATAGCAATCCGCGCGTTGCAGCGCAATGCCGCCCTACGGCCAGTCGGTGGCAAAACATGCGGCTATGGGCCATGCAAAATGTAACTTTGTGACCGTGTGACCTCCTTACACCGTCATCTCACCTCTTTGTATCGCCTCTCTCAGCTTGTATCCTATCATTTTTTATTTTACATGTATTTAAATTTTAAATTTGAATTGTTCCATCTTCCTTCACTTTCTCATTTTGTTTTCGTACCACGGTCACTCCCAGCTCGACCGCCACAACAGTCGGAGCTGTTTCAAATTCCATTTACTAAAATCTTATTTTCGATTCTTTACCAAGTTATAATACAAAACATATAATACAACAGTCGGAGCAAAAGAATTATCAAAAATTTGCTGCAATAATTTTTCGACCAAAAATTAAGCCATAAACCCGGATGTACTGGCGTCGCCATTGAAACCCTGGCTATTACACGAATATAAAGATTTGTACAGATACTTTCTGGTGCTTTCTGGCGCTTTTCAACATAGCAACAATAACGTATATTTCTTTGAAATGTAGGCAGCGGCTGAGCTGCTTCGAGTTGTGTAGCATGAACTTTAGAGGTAGATTACGTGTCCTGGCTGCGGCAATTTGTAGCGACATTAGTATCTTGTATTCTATGTTATTTATATAGTTTATCGTTGAAGTAATCAATATGCAAATAATCATGCTTTTTCATTTGCAACATTTTATTTACTGTTTTATCGTTGTAAACCATTTTCCAAATTATTTAACCTATATATTTTACTTTCTATCACCATCATCCTCGTTAACACTTTCACTTTTAATCAAGTAAGATGGTGGACAATCGTAAGCCGGTCTTAAATTATTAAACAGAGCAAAGAAATGTTAAAAACAAAGTAGAGTTACTTTGTTCGAATAAAAATTTCCATTGCATTATAACTTTTTCCTCGAAAAAGTTTTATTTCACTTACTGCCATTTTACCATAGCTTAAAAGAAAACTACCTTCTGAAATATCTGGAATTGAACATAATGAAATCACCGTCTCACAATCATGTCGCTTGTTGGGCGTAAAATGATTTGTCTCGCACCAATCAGGAAAATTTGACGTCGCCGCGTCACGTCGCTTCGCAAACTCAATCAATTAGATATAGGCCTCACGGAGAGAATCAAGGATCAGATTTGCACTTAAATCGATTTTTACTAACATTTCGGCTCTGATTTTAGCGTAGTCTCAGATTCTTCTGTTTGTCATTTGGCTCAACCCCAATTGCATCTGCTCGAACTGAGCCAGGTTTGATGACCATTGGTCTATTTTACTCCTAGTTGAGAAATTGAACTATTATTCCTGCAAAAGGTAATTTAACTATTTTCCAACAGATTCTCTCTTTTTATAATAATCCGTAGTCACCGTTTTACAACTAGCCATATTCCATAGCGAATCAAAAGATTTGGTGGCACCTACCTCTGTCACACAGTTGAGAAATGGAACTCCCTTCTAAGGCACATATTCCCGCCGTCTTACGATATGGGGTCCTTCAGGGGGCTCGCAGGAGCCAACAAATGACAGAGCTCTTTGAACTCAATAACGATTTTGCAGTATACTACTATAACTGATATCCCTACTAAAACATACGTGATTACGATTGTTTTACACTAGCAAAGCGTTTACAAATCAAGCTGAATAAATAAAAAATAATAATAATAAAAAATAAAGTTAAGAAATATAGATAACAAAATAAAATTTATAAACACTGCGCACAGTATGCGACCCACCCTACACAATATCAGTGCTCGACAGGTAGTTCACGATCAGAAGAATCCCGTGACGGATCACATACTGTTTGTCAAACAATATATCTAAATTCCTATACTGGATGAGAAATACATTGAGGAGTGTGATCGCGTGCAAAGTAGGTGCGTTGTCACTGTCGGCGAAAAGGCGATGCGGCCTGCGCGCGCGCCCAGGTAGCTCGACGGCACTCCGACGAGGCCTATGCGCAAACAAATAACAGTACTCTAAACTTCCCAAAAGTGTTTCAAGGTGCTCACTGATTTGCTCGAATTTTTGACATTCGACACGTGTGATCGAACAAAGCGAATAAATTTATAAGCAACAGACGATCGACATCGTAAATTTTGTCGATCAACATGGTGTGATGTGATGTGATGTGCGAGTGATCAGACAAAATCGAGTAAATGTGTTACAAACTGACGATCTATATCGTATTTTTGTAGATTGTTACGTGTCGATCGTCAAAGAATCGAGGAGATCTATAGGCTCCTTTAAATAGCAGCTTTTCAAAACTGAAAGACTTGGTTCATGTATTCTTACATTTAGAAGATAAATAAAATATTTCACCTTTGAACAATTAAGGCGCATCCGTCATTTTCGTTAAGTTACACGAGCTATAAGACGACTAAAATTTTAGCAATTTGATCTACTTGTACCTCATTCAATCGCAATTGTTAACTCTGACCTCTATTGCAGACCTCCTGGTGAAACCTTGCCAAGTTTCTATTATATCATCGCAACGCAGACAATAAAACGCCTTTAACATGAATTCCACGGAAGCGAGTCTCGATGTTAACCGGTCAACTCCAATAGTTTCAATTGGCACAACTTTTATCACACAATGGTAAGTAATGACCTTTCTACAGTCATAATTTATATAGATGACATATCTATGACAAGCAAAGTAGTAAATTATTTGACTTGAAAATTTAATAAGTAACGTGTCAATTCTTTGAGTTCTGTTTTCGTTTTTTTTTTTGTCGTTTTCGTTTCGTATGCACGCTACTGTATTTTTAGCAGCAGTAGAAAGAGTTCGTCCAAGGCAAATATTGCCACCTTACCTATCTATTTCTGCCACCAAGCAGTAATGCTCACATTACCGTATTCCGGTTCGGAAGGATATGGATGCTGGTCAAATTACAGGCACTTGAGACTTGTTATCTTATGTCTCTGAGAGACGGGCACATTGGGAGTGCCTACCCACTACTGAATACTTCTAATATCCCTAGTTTATGACCAAGTAACTGGCGTGGTTGCACATTATTATTACATATACAATGTATAGTATATTTAGTAGCAGTAGAGCTCCTTGTGAAAGAGTTCGTCCAGGGTAGTACTGCCACCTTATATATTTCTGCCGCCAAGCAGTAATGTCAGCATTACTGCACTCCGGTTTTGAAAAGTAAGGGCGCTGGTAAAATTACAGGCAGATGGGAATTATCAACTTATGTCTCAGGGTGAAGGGCTCAGTGGCAGTGCCCCTCAGATCTTTGCGATTTAATGCTCTGAGTGGCACTGCAACTGTAACAGGCGTGTAGTTTACGATCAGACTCAAGACTTATTTTGTCTCGTCATTTGATATTATAAAAAAAATATATACACAATCCTCAATGAATGACTTCTCTATAAATCTCTCTGTCCCAGTCTTTTTTAGCGAAAAAGTACTTAACAGTCAATCAATTATGCAAGGGGCCCGCTGACAGTTTCAGCAGCGCGAGGGCTGAGAGGTGAACCCAACCTTCATTTACCTGTGTAAAAATTACATTGACACATGGACATGCAGGACTGATGCTTGAAATAAACAAACGTTGCTGTTACAATGTTCATGGCGATACGTTAAGACCGGTAAAGTTGTACTCCTGATAATGAATATTACAAGTCTTCATAATTAAAGTTAAAGATAAATTTATACTGTATAATCTTACTTACCTTAACTACTACCGCTTTACTTCACCTAAATATATTTATTTATTTAATCAAACTCACTTACATTTACAGTTACACGAACCTTGCAAGATACACCCGTATCAATTTAATAATAACGCGTACACAGTCATAGCCTCGCACTAGGGAAACTCTGTATGGCGGGTGCCATGGACACACACATAGACAACCAAAAATTACACACTCACGACAGAACTTTCAATTTCATTAAATTAATTATATTTCAAGACTACACTCATTCTAACAATTATACGATAGATGTAAACCTAGCAATGCTTTCAAAGTAAGCGCCTGCTGTGGATAGAAATATATTTTCCGAGTCGACGAAAATATCAGAAATATGGTATATGCACAATATGTTTATGTAGTCAAGAGCCCTAAAAAAAGGATTCATTGGATCTCCCCGTTTAAGCGTATTAAATAGAGGCCTGCAGCGTGATCTGAGGTTTTGTTTTGGGATCTTGGGGATAAGGAATGGGATGGGATGCTAGTAGGATTGGGTTATGCGCACTCCCTTGCAATAATCTGTAGATATTTCACCATATTCTATCATCCCCAACACAAAGGGCGTGAGATTCATGTAGGGGCAGTATCCATAAGACTTTCTCTGAATGACATGAATCTTATTGAATAAATCTCTTATTTACATAATATGCGCCAGACTATTGCAAACAATGAATTAGTTGTATGGTTCTGTATAACTTTAATTAATGTTAACAATACATGTTAATCTAGATGATACCTAAACTACGTAAAATTGTTTACTTGTATCTTTGGTATTCAAATCGGTTATTTTGTTCTATAACAATCATTTATTGTAATAAAACGTGAATACTTAATTACATTAGCTAGCACCTTAACTATTATTAATATTACGTAATAACAGATATTAAATTTTCAGTGTCTTTGTAGTTTAATTGTGTACTTAGTTTTTCAAGCTTTTTTTTTGTATATCAAGCGACAAGACGAACACGTTGTGCAACTAGTGCCATGCGACACGTCTATTCGTAACAGTGGCAACTCAGAATTTTAAATCGGAAACCCGAGGGGCACAGCCACGGCACCCGTCACCTTGAGACGTAAGCTGACAAATCTTATGTGCCTGTAATTTCACCAGCACCCTTACCTTTTATAACCGGAATGCAGTATTGCTTTAATTACTGCTTGACAGCAGAAACATATATAGTGGCAGAACGTTCCTGAACGAATTTTTCTTTAGTAGCGGTAGAGCTTCTTGTGAAAGAGTTTGTCCAGTGAAGTGAAGACCTTACCCATTTCTGCCACCAAGCAGTAATATGACCATTACTACATTCTGGTTTTGAAGACTAAAGGTGCTGGTGAAATTACAGGCACATGGGACTTGTCAACTTACGTCTCAGGGTAACGGGCCCAGGGGAGTGCATGAGGGGCATCTTTGCGATTTAAAGCTCTGAATGGCACTGCAACTGTTATAAACAGGCGTGTCGCTTGCAACCATACACACGACTTGTTCGTTCCATCATTTTGTATCATAAAAAATAACTCTTTTAAAACAAGCTCCAGTGTTACCAAAGTGTAACGCCACAGCAAAATTTAGGGAAAACTATGAAATTTTGTCCACTTTTTGAAACTTGACATTGAGTTCTAAGTAAATGTAGTGTACCGTATAAGGTATACCAGCTTACTCAGACAACAGAGCTCTCAATCTGAAATTTGGCAGATTATAATTAAGCTCACGCGAATTTACCATTTATCGTAACATATTATTTTCGCAGGAAACTTCAAAAACTGAAGCAACGGACCTGTACGTCGGGGTCGTACCATGAATGTATCGAAGGATATGTAACGGCCAATGGCACCAACTTTAGTGATGTCTACTATTTCAATAACTCCTTAGATAATATTCTCTCTGCTAATGGTGGATTGGTGAGTGACACTTCTTATACATTGAAAAGAAATATTTTATATCACAGTTGATTTTGAAGTATTTCTACCACATCAACGGAAACTTGAAATTCCGGTATTATAAAATGTTTCCAGCGATGTTAAACATCGTCTTTAACAATAACATGTGATTTTAAAAGTAATAATGTCAGGGGCATACTTTCACATTCAATAAGATCATTGTATTCATTTTCTTTGAAGTCCTAATTTAATTGTTGTACTACTGTGAGAATTCTTCTTTTTATGCGCAGTATTAGACTATGTACTGAATTAATAAATACTTACGTAAATAAACATTAGCTTGATATTGGTATTTTAATAATGTATCTACTTCAATTTAAATACAAATGTAAAAGCATGCACTGTGGCTATAAAATACAATTCAAGCAGTGTAGATATTTTGCTTTTTAATTTCTTGTGCTTTTTTGGAGACATTATTTTGGTTTTTAAAGTATGTAATACTGCATTCAAATACTTTTAAAGTTGCTTTCTTAATCTGGGAATCTAACCGACCAAATGTGAAAATAATCTGCATTGTTATGATGCCAAACAAGGATTAAGTAAAACAGTATCTGAATTTGTGTAGTTTTCATGGTGTCGCCATCTCTGAAGTCCCGGGTTCGATCCCCGGCCGGGTCAGTGTAGAAACTAACTTTTCTATGTTGTCTCGGGTCTGGGTATTTGTGGTACCGTCGTTGTTTCCGATTTCCATAACACAAGTGTTTTAGCTACTTCCTTTAGGATCAGAGTAACGTATGTGATGTTGTCTAATATTTATTTATTTGTTTATTATA